TAGCAGACATTGTTAGAGGAGGCACATAAGTCCAGGTTCTCGATTCACCCTGGAGCCATGAAGATGTATCGAGACTTGAGACTTAGCTACTGGTGGCCTTGCATGAAGAGAGAGATAACCTGGTATGTGGAGAGATGTTTGACCTGTTTGATGGTCAAATCAGAGCACCAGAGACCGCACAACAAGTTGCAGCCCTTTGAGGTTCCCATGTGGAAATAGTAGCAGATTACCATGGATTTCATCACCAAGTTGTTAAGGATGGCCAAGGTATTTGATGCCATATTGGTTATTGTTGATTGCCTGACTAAGAGTCCCCAGTTTCTTTCCATTCGGGAGAGTTTTTTGGCCAAGAAATTAGCCGATATGTATGTGTGAGAGATCGTTGCTCGCCACGGTGTACCGGTTTCTATCATATTTGATCGTGATATACGATTCACTTTTTGGTTTTGGCATAGGTTTCAGGAGGAGTTAGGTAGGAGATTAAACTTCAACATTGCTTATCACCCTTAGACAGATGGTCAGAGTGAGCAGACTATTCAAATGCTCGAGGATATGTTGAGGGATTGTGTCATTGATTTTGGTGGGAGTTAGGACTCCTACCCCCTCTAGTGAGTTTTCATACAACAACTATCATTCCCACATTGGTGCACCTCCGTATGAGCTTCTACATAGGAGGAAATGTCGTACTCCAATTTGTTGGGGGAGAGGTCGTCCATATGGTCATGGGGAGGAGAGAGGGGGTACTCAAGACGACAAAGATTATTCAGTAGATCAGGCATAGGTTACAGACATCACAGGGCCGACAAAAGATTTATGCTGATAGACGATGGTTCGAGTTGGAGTTTTAGGTTGGGGATATGGTTCTGCTGAAGGTATCGCCCTGGAAGGGTGTTATACGCTTCAGGAAGCGGGGCAAGTTGGCCCCCCGATTTATCAGACCTATTCGAGTGGTAGCCAGGGTGGGCAAGGTGACCTACCGGTTGGACCTGTCTAAGGATCTTAGCCAGATTCATAGAAACTTCCATGATCCTTAGCTTCGGAAGCGCTTGGTGTATGATACGGCGATGGTTCCGTTAGATGACATTCAGGTCGATGAGTGCCTGAATTATGCGGAGAGACCGGTGGCTATTCTAGATAGGAAGACGAAAGCCTTGTGCAAAAAAGGTGGTATCCTTATTCAAGGTTCAGTGGCAACATCGGAAGGGTTTTGAGTGGACTTGGGTGCCCGATTCGAGGATGCGCGAGCACCACCCATATCTATTTGCAGCTGAGGATTTCGAGCAAGAAATCTAGTTCAAGAGGGGGAGAATCGTAACACCAAGTTTCAGGTATATTCTTCTTTGATTGTTATGGTATTCAAATTTAGAGAAAGATATTTTTAGGGCCACAACGTGGTGATGTATCCCCCACAACGTGGCATTAGCTGATGAAATCGCGCATCGTAATTGGGCGCCACAGCGTGGCAATATATTAGCCATGGCGTGGCAGGCATTTTATGCTAAACCCTAATTCTGGGGTTTGTGCCCCTATTTAAGGAAAGTGAGGGATAGGTTTTCCACACCCTCAACCTCCATAATCTTCATTTCACTCCCTCAAGTAAACCCTAGCCTCCTTTTTGACATTTGTAAGCTCTTGGTGTGTTTTTTTGTGTCTTAAAGAAGAAGAAAGAGTTTTTGGTGCCTAGATCCAACTTTCAAGCCTCATCACCATCTTCTCATACACACTCTGGACCTTTGTGAGTCTTCAAGATCCAACCTTTACGCTTCATGTTTCTAGATCTAGGTTTCCTTGCCTTATTCTTCATGTTTGGTTGGTATGGTTAGAATCCATAAACTTGTCAACTTTATGGATTATGGAGGTCCTCTTGTGATTATATGTCTTGGATATGAAGAATAAATGATTTTTGAATCCTTGCATGAGGTTTTGACCTTTTTTTTTTCCATTTTGACCTAGTTGGAGTTCAAGATCTGCATTGGACATGCATGTCTATAAAGTACTGATTTTTATGACTTATTAAATAAGAGAAAGCCTTCTGTAAAGTGATGCACCGCTGGGTCCATCTTCCATTGATTACTCTAGTTACACTCACTTAATTGTGTCAATTAACCTGGAGAATACAAACAACTCGTAAGCTGATTGACCGGGATTGTATCCCGGGCCAATGCTCCAATGATAAATTCAGTGCAGACTTCGAAAGGAAATTGTAACGATAGTTATGGAATTGATTTAGAGTATGTAAAAGGTGTTATATGCGTACCTCATCAGATTGTGCTTGATTACCTATTTATCATTGAAGGTAAGAAAGTTTCGACCCTCCCTTAGCCCGAACTGTATGGCCGTCTCATCGCGTTTATTACCGTATACCCGAAGGTACATGTTGCTGTACTTGTATACCGTTGGCCAGCTGTTCTTAGTTGGTTTGAGAACCCATCAATCGCACTTCCTTACACAGGCTGTATGCTTAGAGTTCCCATGTACTGTTGATACTGTTGTGATGTCATATTGTACTTCAGTTGTTAGTTTTCTTTCTTCATGGTACTTATGTGAGTTCGGTATATATACACCAGTTTGGTATATATATTGGTTCGGTATGTTTTATGGTTCGATATGTTTAGAGGTATACATATCCTGTTTATGTTATACCCTATTAAGCCCCCCAATTTATATTGCTATCTACTCGTAGAGATAGAAATTCAAACTCTAATAGCATTAATGTCGTATCCGTTACAACCGGATAAGGGCGAAACCTCCTGAATTGAATTTTGACGTGATAGCCTGAGGGTTTTCTAGCTCTCATGATTACTTCTATAGCTGTCTTTTTGGTTACTTTTTCTTTTAGAAGCATGGCCATCATCATGAGGAAGTATGAAATCTATCCCAAATTCCATCGTCGCCTTCCGGAGGCCGATGACACAAAACTGATGCCCCCAAGGATATCGTTGGTGTGTATATGATTTTATTCAAATTTGGCTTGCGACTTCCTGCCTTTGATTTACTCAAGGTTGCAGAAAACGCTCAACGTAGGCCCGGCGGTGGACTGGGGTCAAGGGATTAATCGGTTAGGCGGGGATTAATCGGGGACCATTAATTATTAAAAAATAAATAAATATAACATTAATCCTAATAATATAACACTAAATATAACATTAAATATAACATTAATAAATATAACCATATCAATTAAAAAAATTATTAAAAATTTAATAAATAGAACATTATAACATGAAAACATGATTACAAAACCCCTTTGATTCTTAATACATCACATCTAAATAACCAACTACTACATTGTTTTTCTCAATCACTTAATACATCTAAATAACCAACTTTTAGTGAGTTTTTGAATCGATCTGAACTTTGGAGGCTGTTTTAGTAGCAGGTAATGCCATCACAGGAACATTTGGAAAATTCTGCTTTAGTCACCCCAACACTTTGTAATCTGGACGAAAATCATGTCCCCAATTGCTGAATAAACAATAGTGAGTATGTATGTTTACATATCATAGTGTAGATTTATAAGACTAAGTAGAATCGGACATTGCTATACCTGACACAATGTGCTTCATCAACAACAAAGCCAACAAGTTGTCCCTGTAAAATGTGTGATAATATTTAAAAAAAACTTTTATTTGAAATTCTATGTTGGAAACTTTGATGTGAATTACTTGGAACGAACCTTGTTGTGTAGAGATTTTAATGTGTCTTGAAAATTCTAACAAGAAGTTATCCACTACACAGTTGTCGCACCTTATCAGCATTCACTCAGACAATTGATCGAACACTTGGTGGGCAGATGGTTTCATACACAAAACAATTAAATATATCATGTAGATACAATTTTTTTCATACACAAAACCACTACTTACCTAATGTTACAGATGTCGTAGTTGCTTCTTCTTCGTTTTCATTCCAACCAAACATCACCACCACTTCGGCCCTACCTGTTACAACCGAGACACAAACCTTGAACTAGAAAAAGATGAAAAGAACAAACAATTTTAGAAAGCAAATTAACAACGATTTTAGAAAGCAAATGAAGAAAGAACAAACAATTTCATACAGGGTTAGCTAACGATTTCAATCAAGTGAGTTTGAATTAAGGTGAATCGGAATAACAGATCAAACCAGAAAGCAAACCTCGTCCTAATTGCAGCATTCGATCTCGCAGAAAACAAAATCACAAATCGAGTTACCTTCAAGATCAATTACTTCTAATTGTCGTGTGAATCGAATTACCTTCAAGATCAATCACTTCTAATTTCTCCATATCCCAAATTTCAGAACGGATTTCACCACTCAAATTGTTGAAAGAAAGTGATAAAAGAATTAAAGGTAGCTCGGCGGTGGGTTGCATCTGTATATATCCAACAGTTGAGCAGAGGTTGTTCGACCGAGAGAGAAAGGTTGGGAAGAACAAGATACAAAGTGGGGAAGAAAGAGATGCAAAGAAGAGATATGAAACAATTAAAAGTTCATCCCACATCGCTGGTGGGATAATAGATAAAGGAAAAACATATTCTACAAAAAGGGAAGCTAGCTCCATTGAGAATTAAAACCAACTAAGCTTTGGGCTAGCCGGCTCCTTTGAGCTGGTGGGTTCTTTAGAGTTAGCCGAGCCGATTTGGTTTGATTTGGTGTCCGAGTTGGTCCGATTTAGTCCGATTAGGACCGAATTGGACCGACTTTGACCGATATTGACCAAAAGCGATTAGCTAACCCTCTAACACCTATTCGTAGGCGGTTGGAGACCGCCAAGCGTTTAGGCGCCGATTAATCGGCCGCCTAGACCGATTTTTGCAACACTGGATTTACTAGAGATAGTTCTCGAGTATTATGGTCTGCATATCTCCGAAATTACTCAGAATGGGTTTTGCTAAGTGCTTTGTTTCGCTCTACTATGTATTGCCCTAGATGTCGCTCATTCCATAACCATATCTTGATATTTCTATCTTCCTTTGTCCAACAGCGACTGGGTATTCCTTTCCCTCCATCATGGTTTTATGGAGCTTTGCGATGGTCTTCCAACCTCCATCAAGTACTGGAAGGAGGAATTTTTCTTTGTACACGTTTTTGTCTTCTCCGAACCTATGGTGTTTGGTGCAACTGTTGACAGGGTTGTTGATCCTGTTCCCGAACTATCTACCGAAGAACATGTTCTTGTTGATCGTTTGAGTGAGAATTACGTGAAATGGTCTGATCCGAAGGAGGTTGTAGTGGGGATGGACGGTATGAACCCACATTGGGATAAATTAGGTAAAAATCCTGTCGAGACTCTGGGAGGGCAAGAGGTAACTTTTCTTGATCAATTATTATGGAAGTGATTGGTAGGGTCTGCCATGGTGATGGAAGAGATGGTAGTGTCGGATTCCCCATCTAAATCAGAATCTAGCATGGACTCGTCTATAAATTTGTCTCGATCGGAGACTGCAAGACCTATGAAATCGATATAAGTCACCAAAGTAGTTAAAGCAGAACGAGATTCCGGGAAACCACCATTTGTGTCTACCAGGTCAACTTTGGCTTCCAAGAAAAGGATTGGGGATATTCCATCGAAGAGTGTAACTGAGCTATCACCCCCTAAGTGCAAACGGACCACTCACAAAGCAAAGAATTGTAGTCTGAGTAGCCTATCCGAGCAGTTGAACTCCGATCCCATTGATCCTGACTCTGCTGTGACAACCCGATATTCCAAGTCAATGTAATGTTCAAATATTAAAATCTATTTTTGAAATCAATAAAAATAGCGTCAAAAATGAAATGTTCTAAACTCTCAATTGGTATACATAAAATGTTGGATATCGTGTCAAGGTTTTCAGAAATATAAAGAACACTCAAATCCGAGTTATAACGAAGAAGTTATGACCAATCGAAAATCCGCGACAAAACCGGTAAAACACTGTTAAGCGTAAAAAGTGAAATTTCAATAAAATAATTTTTAGCTTTAAGTATCTAAACGAAAGTCGTATATAATAACAAACCGTGAGCGTACATAAAAAGAACGTCCAAATCTGACTTCGTATGAGGAAGTTATGATTTTCTAAGTTTCAGAACAGCAGTAGACAGCTAAAAATTCGAAATAAAGATCGAACGATTTTTAGCCGACGCAAACTAAACGAGAATTAAAGATCTCGATAATAGTAGTACAACGGTAAAAAGACAGACGAAAACGGACATCAGATGAAGAAGTTATGAATTTTTAACAGATTTATCCTGCCCCGGCCTATTAAAAATTTTATAATAAAAAATAAAGTCAAGATTTGCCGACGGAGTCTAACCGAAAGTTGTAGATTATAATCTCACCTATGCGTGGATATAAAGAACGTCAAAAACGGAGCTCGTATGCGAAAGTTACGCATTTTAGAAGATTTGGGAACACACTTCGAGGCTTATCCGAAGGGTTACACCCCGCTTACTTCGGATGTACGTCCATGCAAGGCCTCGGATCGGCCACGTCTCCCCTATGCTACTCTACTCCCGTCCCATACGAAGATCATCGACCGATGATGACGTCATCGCTGACGTACGCCCCGCGTACGAGGGTACGCCCAGCGTACGAGCTGCGGACGAGGTACGCCCCGCGTACTTCGGAGTACGCCCAGCGTACGAGGCTGCCTCCACCACTATAAATAAAGATGCGAGGGTGCCGGCTCCATTTGCTAATTCACACCATTTCTCTCCCACTTTTTCACTTCCGAGCCCCTCGAGACTACCCCGACGCCCCGGTTACGTATCCAAGTCCCGACGAAGGTCCGAAGCTCCGAGATTCCCGAAAAATTTACCACTTTCCGGTCGAAGTGCTTCCCGAGAAAAATCTCGTTTCCTTCAAATCATCACACTTTCCAGGTGAGTTCATACCCCTTTATTTTCACGTTTTTACTATACTTTAGGGGGGGGGGGGAGGAATACAAGTGAAACACGAGAAAAACTTATGTGAAAATATAAAACGTTACTTAGGATTTCAGATGCTTCATCTACGTTTTTTGTTTATAAATGTTAAATAATATTACTACCAATGTCACACTTTACATGCGAAGTTAGTAATACACCAAGTTTTATCATCTTAATGGAACACATTTTCGAAAAAACTATAATAGGTATAGTTTACGAGTTATTCGTGACATTTTACATACTGTAAACACTATAAAGAGGAAATACTTACACTTACAAGGAAAATGGACTTTTCATTTCGTAAATCTATTGATACTAAATTTTGTGAGACATTTGGCTTCACCGTACTTTCCAGTACGTATTTCAAGTCATGTATTATAAACCATAATCTCTTGTAGGGAGAGCGTGATACTTGTGTATAGATCTATACGGGATTGACAATCCCGCACCTAAACTGTTAGCTACAGTTAGACCGGCAGGTCTGGGGTGACAAATGTCATAACATTTCAACGCCTGAAGAATGTTGTTACAGGCAGTCTGAGTCAATAGCATGGTTATAAAACTCACATGGAGTATCAAAACATTTTGATTTACGGGGCTATCAAATGCATTAATGATTATATATATATATATATATATATATATATATATATATATATATATATATATATATATATATATATATATATATATATAAACCTACTTACACTATTTTAGGTATGACAATTTCTCATGCATTTCAGTCTTTGGAACTTTTCAAGCTACCTCACATACATGGAAAATATTGGATTTTCTAGAAACAAGCTCAGGTATTTTATACAGAAAGACATACAATTCTAGTACAAAAACGCTTATGAACTCACCAACTTAATTGTTGACATTTTTCAAAACTACTTGTATTTCTCAGGGATTCAGTAATATAGGTAAAACATCAGCTTTTGGAGAAGGGACGCTAAGGCGTCAGTTTTCAAAACTTATTAAATCATCATATTGTAATATTTTTTTGAGACATGTATCACATGCAACAATGTAACTTTTAAATTATATTTATGATGGTTGTGTTTACTTTCTTTACAAATATTCAACTGTTATGATACTACGTGAAGTCATCCATCCCCGAATGTTTCCGCCATTCTGGTTTGGGGGTGTGACATCTGCTAACCCTGATTCTTCTTTGGAGATTCCTCCTTCATCTGAGTTTCACGACTGTCCAATAGTGTCTAACACAGACATGAAACTTGTTGAAACGACTCTTTTAAAGGGTGATATTAATGTGTCTGGTCCTCAACCTGCCGTTGAGCCAAGTCATGTGGAACCCTCTGCCGATTCGTCTGTCAAACCTCTTGTGGAAGGCATAACTCAAAATCCTCTACCCGCTGCTGTTGTTTTTCAACAGAAGCTATTTGGGTCTAGCTTTAGCTCTTTCCAATCGGTGACCATAGAATCCACAACACTTGTGATGGACCCCGTTGCTCCGGAGGCGAGGACCTCTGATTGTGATACTCTGAATGTTCTTGTGATCGAACCCGATGCTACGACTGCTGACGTATATGTCGACGTTGTTTTAACGACGTCTCCCATGAATCTTATGTTTCTTACCGTGATTTTATTAAATTATGTGTACGCTTTTGTTGATAACGTGGTGGCTTGTTTCAGTGATCCCTTTTTTTGGAAAGACAGTGGAAATGCCTACTCTGGTTACCATTGGTGCTTCACTTCTTCAAATCTATCGACCTTATGTTGTGACCGGTATTCCGAATAGTCCCTTGTTAGCCGAAGGAACCGAAGAGGAAACTCTTGACAAAGCGCACTCCCATTTGTTGGAAGGAATGCATATTCTGAATGAAGTATTTTCCCGTACTAAAGCGAGATCTAAATATCTGGCCGCTTGTCAGCTCAAATTTGAACAAGATTTTGAAGGTTTACAACAGCTTCTTAAGATTCATGATCGAACGGAGTAAGAAGTCCAGGAGCTTCGTGAGCAGGTGTCAAAGTTGTCTGAGCGGAACCAATGTCTAGTTCGTGACTTAAGCGAAAGCCTGGGCTGTCAAGAGGAATTGAAGCGGTTGAATCAGGATCTACAGTCGAAATTTGATGACACGATCAGTCAACACACAACAGTAGTCAAGGAGTTGGAGGAGGTTTCTCAGCAGTACCAATCTCTGAAGTCTCAATATACTAATAAGGTATCCCAATTGGGAATTGCTTGCTCGGGTAAATATGTGAGAATAAAAATGACCGAGGAAGAGTTAGTGGCAGCTAACGCTCTTGTTTATGAAAATAATGCCTAGATCAATGCTCTAAACCAGGCTCAAGTTGCAATGAATTAAACCCTGATGTGTCATCGGGAAGAGAAAAAGCCACTCTCCTCAGACTTGCAATGGGTCGTGAAAGAGGGACTTCCTTCCTTTGTTCGAGCTGTTTAGAATTCAGGTGAGTTTGGAGATGCTAATGCTTCTCTTCAGACAATTGCAATCTAACTTGGGTTATATCAAGCTTGTTTTGAGATGAAGGAGAGGTATGCTGAGGCGTTGGAGGGGAAGAACGTTCTTTATTCTTATCCTGGCGCCCAACATCAAATCGTGGATCGCTTTTCTGAAATGGTCACTCGCAAGTACTCTTTATTCAGCGTTGCTGAAGGAGGGGGAGTGGATATTCCAACTTTGAAAGAAACCTTGAAATCATTGGATCCTTCAGGTGGTGAAGGTGAAGGTTCATTGGGTGAAGTCTAGTGTATAGGTAACTTTTTTTTTTGTTTTTTTTTGTGTTGATTGCCATTGTTGCGTAGGTTATGTATTTGGATCCTTTATTGTATGTAATAGCTACCGTATGTCGTATTGGTCTAATGTTTCTCCCGTTTTTTTACTTCCTTCTTTGTGAACAATTTATGGTATTGCACTAAGACTTTCTCATCCCATCATAGCCTACTTCCTTTTTTTTTCTTTTTTTTTTTGCAATTTGACAAGCCTGATTCTCGAATCTTCTTTTTGTGATACTTGAACCTAAGGCTTTGAGCAAGTTAGAATCGGGCCTGGTGGTTCGAGCTAAAAAATACTATGCTTTTTTATCATTTCGAAACAGTGACTGGATCATATTGTCGGAATCTACATTCCGAGTAGAGTGACGTTATGCCTCAACCTGGAGGGTTATATTACCGTGAAATGTGAGGTGTAAATGTATGGTGGTATGGCAAAATGATCAAACTGTAATGTATGAGTTTATTATTTGAGTAATGTAATATAATGAAATAATTTGATCGACGCGTAAGGTATGAACCTATGGTTTGGGTGATCTAATCATCGAGCCATAATATGGAGGATTATGGTGATGGGATAAAATGACTGAACCATAAGGTATGGATTTATGGTTCGAGTAATTTAACATTGAGCCATAATGTGGAGGATTATGATGATGGAATAAAGTGATCGAATCATAAGGTATAAACTTATCGTTCGAGTAATTTAACATCAAGCCATAATGTGGAGACTTCCGCTAGTTTTTGTAATTTAACTATGATTTAACATTATGCTTTTGAAACAAAGAAATGTTATGATATGTATTTAAAATAATGGATTTTGGATGTTTAATCTTATTTTAAAAATGAAAAATTTGGTTTGAAATTTATGATGTTGTACAGATAATGAAATGTTTTTCCATAAATAATGACAAAAGAGTAACAAAAAAGGTTAATGTAAATTAAAAATTGAAAGGTAAACTATGATACTTTTATAGCAATATCCCTAAATGAAATAAAGATCACTAACAATAACAAAAATATCTTTCGATATATATATATATATATATATATATATATATATATATATATATATATATATATATATATATATATATATGTAACACCCGCCATTTTATAAACCAAATTACTATGGTTTAATTATTTCTTTTTGACATTTAAGTCTTGTTTATTAAAATCTAGTCCCAAATATCTCCACTAAGATATCATTTTAAAATGATTTATAAAATACATAGACTGGGCGTTGCAACCTATGTATGCAAAACCATAGTAAAGAAGTGGGTATACCGACATTATAGAAACTATATCAAATTATATCCTTCATGAATTCACTGCTATCAATACATGCACAATCTTCTAATGCTTCGTACATGAACCTGGAATATGCGACATTAACAACATACGTTATACAATATTGTCTGGCAAGTTATATGGATACTATACAAACATAAACTGCATAATCATAATACATGTAGTTCTTATAGATATTCCTATAACTTATATTTAAATTAACATAAGGTCCTTTAGTTACATACCAATCTAAACCTTAAGGTTAATCATAAAGATAACACCCCAACACTTTTATTGACATTACCAACCTTATCATAACAGAGAGAATAATTCAACATGTTAAGGTATCTCCTATGAACTCGCTCATATAATGCAACCACAAATACACTGCCATGCATTAGAAAGGTTACATTATGTAACCTCATAATGTCGACCGCTTCAGTAGAACAAATTATCCTATAACACCCCATAACTCGAGAGCACCGAAGGAAGTGTGCATGAAGTGAAGTTGACCTTGTCTGATATGCTTGTGATTCCAGACTCATTGAATATCAATTTTGGAAAGGTATGTTACGTTAAATGTATTGAAAATTTATATAAGTTGTGTTATAAAGAGGGGTTCAATAGGTTAAGCATTGCTTATCTTGGTGGTGATTGGGGGGGGGGGGATTGAGTTCAATAAATTGAATATGTGTGTTAGATTTAAACAATGCATGTCCATGAGAGCGTTGTTTAAGGAAATCAGACCGATTCATAAGAATATTATTCTTGATTGTCGTGTTATTTGGGTGGAAGTCACTGGTCTCCTTCTTTGTTCATGGACTCCGTCGGACTTCATAAAAGTTGCTTCTTCTTAGGGAGAGGTTCTTTTTATTGACGATGATGAAGATGGTCCGACTGGTTCAGGTAAGGTGTGTATCCAGAGATGTCATATGGAAAATATCGAAGCTAATATGTTAAAAGATATTGTATGCCCAAGAGTCATTATAGAATGATATTTCTAATAACATATGATCTTAAAGGGTCACACGTTATCGAAAGTTACCATCAATTGATTATTTATTAGTATAATTTGATTATTAATAAATATATCAACACTTGTATATTAGAAATAATATTATTTTAGAAATAATATTTTATCCTAATTGGGGATTTATTATTTATGGAAATAATATTTATTGGAGATATCACAACTTGTGAAATATATCATAAAGTATGATTATTTATATGTTATATATATATATATATATATATATATATATATATATATATATGTGTGTGTGTGTGTGTGTGTGTATATATATATATATATATATATATATATATATATATGTTTATATGTCATTAAACTAATTAGAGTTTATTTATGTAAAAGATGGTTTTATATAAAAGAGATATTTATATATATAACTAGTATATTAAAGTAGAATCTTTTCTTTTTTGGCCTCTTTGACCTTATAGCTGATTTATCATAAGGTATGGTCCAATATTGCTTTTCTTTGTTTATTATAAACTCCATGCATGTAAGAGTAAAGGCTTTCACTTTTACTTTAATGTTCCTCTTTACTTTATGACTAATATATAAGCATTTACATGGAGGGTTTGTAGCTAGTTCTTGCACAACATTTCTTCTTCTTTTTGGCTTCATAACCGTGAGCTATAGAGCTCATGAGGGCTACCAAAACTTCCGATGATAAGCTCTCCATTTCCACTCCTTTATCTTGCAAATTTGGTGCTTGATAAAAGTCTTTTTGTTGGTTCACCTTTGAACATATATTTGGTATATATTTCCAATGCTTATGAACAACAATTTACAAGTTTTTACTAGCATTCTTGGTGGTTCTGCTCTTGCTTGGTGGATACTTCTAGAGAGTTTCTTCTTTGGAGCTTAAATCCATCTTCATCAACTTCCTAATTTCCAAAAGGAACCAAAGTCTTCAAAGGTTGTAATGCTTTCCTTCTATGGTTGTTTTAATCTTTCTAAGTCTTGCAAAATGATCTTTTGGTGGGAATAAAACTAGTTTTATTTTGTTGAAATCTAAAGTCTTCCGTTGCTATGTTTATGTTTTTGAAACAATTTTTGAATAAAAGCCCAATAGTTAGTATTAGAGCCATTTTTGCAAGATTAGTTATATTAATTGTTAAGTTGATGAAATCTTTGTTTTTGGAAAACATGTATGGTTTTCTCTTTGCAAGAAAAATCCATACATATTTTCTTTAACAACTTTGTAACTGCTATTTTTGTGTGACAAAAGTTTACATGTATTTTTTGTCACAAAAGTTGTTTTATATAATTTAGAGTATATATATGTTTATGTTGTGCATAAACTACCCAAGGTCCTTTGTGTTGCTGTTTGTGTTGATTTGTTGATAAAGTGGTTGTCATATTTATTTATTCATATGGTATGTAATAATTAAATAGATTAGTTTTCTTCATTTATTTTTGTAAGTAATAGATTAGCTTTTAGAAATAATTTATTTATACAAAAATGTAACAAGAAATGAAGATGGAGCCATTTTTTTAGACCAAAAATGAATTTTCGCAACTAATAAGTGTGTAGGGAAAATTATGACACTTCCTGAAACTGTCACTGAAGTTGTCACTATTGGCAGCTCCCTTAAAGGTTGTTGTAGCCTTTGCGACACTTTCTGCAACACTTCCTGAAAGTGTTGCATGTTGTTGAATTATTATTTTCAAGAAGCTTTTTAACTTTTTTGCAAACAATGGGTGTTTTCTCAAGTGAGGGCTTCTACAACAACATTACTAGAAGGTTTTTGGTCCCTTTAAATTTCGCTTTAAGGATTGGACTTGGCATTTTACGATGGCTCACAAAATGTCAATAGTTGGTTGGTTTATGCACATGCGTTTTTAATATGTTTTTGTTGTTTTATATTTATGTTGTTATTACTATGTTATGGTTGATAAATTAGTTTTCAAATGCAAAATAATATTTGAACATAAATAAACATCATAAAGTAGTTTAGTTTTAATGGAATTTACCTTTTTAACATAAGATGGTAAAATAGTTTTGAAAAAAACAAGCTTTATCATTAAAACTAGTAACCGGTAAAATTTTGGGATTAAAATTATATAAGTTTAAAATAGAGATTTATAAACTTATCAAACTCCAAACCTTATTTTATAAAAGGAAGTTTTATTAAAAGGTTTATAAATGTTCTAAAGCGCTCAAACGTCGAACTTAATACTAGCTATTAAAATTTGATCGCGTCAATTTTATGAAATCAGATTTTATAAAAGAATATTGTTAAAATGTGATGTTTACATAAAATAAGTTTTTTTAAAGTATACCATGGCTTATTTGATGCATGCAATAACCATGATATAATATGTTATTTAAAACTAGAATTATAAAAACATCAAATACCCGTTACAAACCTCAAATATATGCAATCCATTTTGAAGAACACTCACACATCTCTCGTAAGCAGTAGTGAGATAAAGGTCACCTAACTGCTTAGTGTTATCTTATGATGGTTGGGGTGTATTCGCGATTTCTATAACCAAGTTATAGTCTGATTAAACAAATTTTTCAAGTCGGATGATTTAATCGGAAATCTTTTGTGATAAAGATCACCTAAGCAAGAGATACCATGTCTAATTAAATTTGTCATTAGTGATACCATAAATATAGGAATTATATAGTAGAATATAATTGACAATCGATA